CTTCATATCTGGTGACCAATGCCTGTATCTGATGGCGCTTTCCCTCCCCAGATAGAACGAGAGGCTTCCTCGTCTTGCCACTGTGCATTGCAGCATGTCTTCCCTCAGAGCTGTCCATTTCACGCATCGGAAAAGAAAGTGTTCCACTGATTCCCTCGCTTGTCCACAGGCACAAAGGTCTGACTCGACCGCCCCAATCCTGCTCAAAAAACCGTTCAGTCTCGCCATTCCGGTTCGGAGCTGCGCCAATACGCAGGCCTCCCTTCGCTTCAGCTTGTCATAGAGATGGCGCGTGTGCTTGCCTAGTAGTGCTACGTCCATGGCCTTTGAGAACTTGCCCACGCTTACAGGTAGAACTCTTGTCGCCCGTTGTCTTTCCATTGCCAGCCTCATCGCGGTAGACTTGGCCTGGGGTATTTGGGAGTCGGGTGTGCGTCCTTGCTTCGACGCTCTCTGGGCTGCTGCCTTGGCATCTGACCCCAGCGCGAAGTCAATCTCCGCTGGTATCCACAGAAAGTTGACCGAGTTCCCTCTTTGTCGGTGCAGCCTGGCCAAGTCGTAGATTTGCCGTATGATGCTTTGGCCGGATTGCTGCCGCGGCTGTCCAACTGCTGCCAGCGCTGACTGGTTCCTAGTGATCACGGTGATGTGCCTGTGGCAGATGCTAGCCGGTAACTTCTCCAGGGCCATTGCGATGGCTGCTAGCTCTGCTGTATATGGGTTCTGCTCTTGTCCCAAGAACCAACAGCATAGTTTGTCACAGTCTCGCTAGTTCATGTTGAAGAGAGTATCCCGTGCAAGGCCGCCCATGCCAAACAATGCCCTTCTTTACGGATGAGCTGGTTGCGATCACGATTCCCGAAATTTTGTTGACCATCTCGGCCGCCTTCCCTCGATCGGCTTCGAGCGTCGGTCGTAGGCGAGGTACCCAGGGCGGGACGGCGTATTCCTGGATTGTCTCCATCCGGTCGACTCGTACTCCTTCGGCCACGCGGGCAATTTTCTGCAGCGGAGATACGAATCGTACGGTGGTCCGGACTTTCTTCATGGCAAGGGGATGCGTTCCGGGTAGCGTGTGGATGTTGATCCACAGACTGGCTGCCGCCTGGGCGTGTCGTTCTCGTACGGGGTAGATGCTCGCTTCAGCTTCCACCACGGCTGTTGCCGCGGTTCGAAAGGCTCCCGTGATGGCCAGGGCCCCGATCTTCTGCGCCCTGTTCAGCCAGCTCAGTGCCTTTTCCCCGCACGCATGCATCCAGACATTGGCAGCGTAGTCCATGACCGGGGCTACTGTCGCAACAAATAGCTGTCTCGCTGTCCGCGGGGAAAGCATCTTCAGCCTCTTCAGGGCCAGAGCGGCTGCGAGGCCCTTAGCTGCCGTCCTAGCAATGTGCTGCTTGTAGCGGAGTTCGCGATCCATCACGACACCTAGGATTTTCGCACTTTCCTTCGGTTTGACCACTTCGCCTTTGACCGAGAACGGTTGTTCTGAAAATCGCTCCATGTTCCTCGTGAAGTGTATGATGGCTGTCTTTTCGCCTTCAAACTGCGCACCGCTCCGTTTCTCCCAGTCAAGGGCTTTGTCGATGATAGCTTGGATTCCAGTGCGGTTCGACTCCGCTGACGGGCCCGTTACCCAGGCAGTGTAGTCGTCCACGAAGGCAATTGCGCCTCCGTTCGCGTCGATCTTGTGCTGCACTAGGTCGGCGTTGAAGAAGAGGAACAACACTGGAGACAGCGGCGATCCTTGCGGAAGACCCGCTTGGGGCAGCTCTTGCCGTCCAGATGTGAACCCGTTTACGGCAATGGTCGCTGTGCGCTTGGAGCAGAAGGCGTCGATCCACTTGACCAGGGGTTCAGGTATCCCTCTTGCCTTGAGCCTCTGGAGAAGCCTGTCTTTGAAGACCCCATTGTATGCGCCCTTGACATCGAAGCTGATCAAACTGAGCACCTTCCTAGCTCTCCATGCTTTGTAGATGTGTTCCTGAAGCAGAAGGAGAGCCTGTTCGGTCGAGCGTCTCTTCCTGGCTCCGAAGTGGTTGGCGGGTAGAAGGCCGCAGGTCTCCACAGCATGGGATAAACGCTCCGCAATGACTGCCTCCAGTATCTTACCCAGCGTGGAGAGCAGCGAGATGGGTCTCCAGGACTTGGCTAGAGTGTATTCGCTCTTCCCTGGCTTCTTCAATGGGATGATCTTGGCATTCCTCCACTGGCTGGGGATGTCGCCGTCTCGAAGCGACGTCCGGAATAAATGGAGCACCCTGTCTTTGACCACTGGCCAGAGCTGTCTCCATACCATTGCCGGTAGACCGTCTTCCCCGGGCGCCTTCCATGGCTTAGCGGACAGGACCTTTTGTTCTATCTCCTCCATTGTTAGGTCTGGCATGTGTACCGGCGCCCGTTGAGGTCGTTGGCCCTCGTCTTCGATTCTCGCTGGCAAAGGTGGGAAGAAGGCGGTGAGTAACTCCTGCGCTTGTTCTGCTTTACCCTCCGTGATGGAGCCATCGGGTCGGACGAGCGGGGGTATCTTATCGCCCATCGTGCCGCTGCCGGTTTGCAGGTACTTCGTTGCTTGCCAGATGTTAGCGTCATCGGCCAGGAAGTCGTTCCAATGCGAACTCTTCTGTCTGCGGATGGCGTCGTGGTACTCTTTGGCTGCCATCCTGGCTCGTTGTTCGAGCTCTGGTGCTGTTTGCCCAATCCTACGTCGAGATCTCGCCTGGTTTCTCCAAAACGTGTATGTCTGGCGAAGCCGTGTCAGGTCCGTTGTCCACCACCGCTTGGCGTATGGTGAGGGTTTGGCTTTAGGTGTCAGGCCGTAGACCGCCTCGGTTACCGCTGCCATGAGCCTGTCCGTCTGCTGCTGGACATTGCCGTCCCAGGGGATGCGTTCGAGGTTTGCTGCCACCCTAGTCCTAATTTCCGCCCAGGGCGCGTTCTTGAAGAGGAACCTCGTCTCACTGGGACGGTCCTCCACCGAGGTGTCAAAAGCTGTCTCGATTGCTCTGTGGTCTGAGCCATGGTCGCAGGAGGTGAATCGCGCATCTGAGTAGTTGGTCTGCTAGTTCTGCAGAGGCCAGTACCAGGTCGATTGTGCTCTCAATGTCGCCTGACTGCCACGTCTTCGTGCCTCTTGGGAGGAGGCTGCAGAGGGAGTGTTTCGTCCATGAGGTTGATGATGCGGTCTCCCTTCGCCTTTGTCTCCGTGGTGAGACATCGTCCCCTCCCCTAAAGCTGGGTCGTGGCGGTTGAAATCGCCCGCCAGGTATGATATCCGTTCTCGTCCCTGTTCCGTTTCGAAACCTCCTAATCAGTCGGTCAATTTCCCTCATTGCATCTTCCAGTGCTTCGTCACTACCACCCTCCACATACACTGACACCATCAGCACTGCCCGATCTGGGAGCCGGATGCGTGCTGCGGTGAGGTCTGCCGACGGCACTGGAATCTGGCTCGAACCTCTATATCGACTTCGTACCCAATAGCATGCTCCGAATTGGCCACGTGGCTTCTCGTCTTGTCGTTGGTATCAGCTTCGTCCCAGTTGTGATGACTCATTGGGACCGTCGATCACCGAGCTTTCGATCAGCCTGAGCATATGGTTCGAGAGATGGCCCAGCACTGCGAGAGTCCTTAGAGTCCCTCGTCGTTTAGCAGACTCTGCTGCACTTCTCTCCGTTTGCAGGACGTTGAGCTGAAGGAATCTTAAGCGTCTTGGGCCCCATTGTTCAACCAGCGTACCCGACAGTTCTTGCTAAATGACTCGTGTGGTCCTCTGCATAGCACGCACTTCAGGACCACGGACTGACACGTCTTGTGGTGGTGACCCTGTTCCGCACACCTTCCGCATCTTTGCGGCTTTTTGCAGGCGAAGGCCTTATGGCCGATCTCCTGGCATCTGTAGCACTGGATTGGGCCTTCCCGGGGCGCGAAAACGGTCGTGTAAGCGGATTCTCCGACGAGATGGAAGTAACGCCCGTCTAGAAGTCGCCTTGCTTCGCTGCCCTTCGTCACGTAGACAACCATCGAGCCGTAGGCCTTGCTTGTATCCTTCCTGCTGAGCCAGGCAATCTTCGCAATGTTGACGTCGTTCTCTGTCCCTAGCGCCTCTGCGGCTCCCGGCAGGATGTTTCCGTCCGCATCGAGGACCGCTGTTCGGTTGGCATTGTCTACCCTCACCGGGTACAACTGGTCTCTCAATACCCGCACTCCAGGAACACTGATCTTCTCTGCCGCTTCCTTGACGAGCTGGACCTCGCCTTCGTCCCTGCAAATTACTCTGACTCGGTCCGGGTTTCGGGCCTCCTTCACAACCGCAGCGCAACGCCAGTCTCCCATGCTTTCCTGTGCCCTGGCCTCTGTCTCGATTGCCTTTCTAATGTCCGCCACCTGGACGTTTCCCTTCTCTTTCTCCTCCACTCTAGATGTATCGATCGTACAGAACAACGTGTCGGTAAAGGATGAAGGCGTCGTGTTTCGCGAGGAGAGGGTGCGCACACCGCTTGGCCTGGCTTGATGGTGGGGTGCGAGCGACTTCGGCGTATGACCCTCTTGCGCTTGGTTGGGACGAAGCCATGGCTACCGGGTTGCGTTGAAGGGTATCAATCTGATCCCGCGCTTGTCTCAGTTCTTCAGACAGCTGGGTCCTGGTGTCTGCAAGTTGGCGATGTAGTTCTTGAATCGCGTCGTGCTGCTTGCAAATCACCTCGCGTAGTTCGCCAATCGTGTTTCGCTGCTCGGTAATCATTCGGTACATTTCGTCTCGTTGTTCGTTGATCGCCTCCAGGAGCATCTGTATACCTGACTTCCCCGTCTCGATCCGGCTGTTGGCTCCATATAGAATCCCAGACGCGCGTGCTCCTCGCGTCGTAACCGCCCGCGTGGTACTCGCTCGCCGCTCTCCTCGACGTGGTAGCCACGTCCTCGAGCGATTGCATGGCTTCGCGAGCTTTCGCGCTCGGTTTCAACGCGCGGCTCGGTCGTCTCGGCGAAGGTGGTTGGTCGGCCACCTCGACCACGATTTGGGGCTGCGCCTCCGCCGCCATCTTGCAGTCCCTCGGCAGTGCCGCCCGACTTTCTCAAAAGGTTCCTGGCCTCGATCGCCTCTCGCCGATGAACCTCTCCCTTGTTTTTCGAATCTTTTTTACTATCGTGCTTTTTTCGGCTCAGATTTTGCAGCCGGGGTTGTCGTCCCCGAGGTCCAGGACCACGTGACGACTGCCCCGGCGGTGGATCCCCCTGCGAGGACGTAACTCTGGCGTAGATGTTCCGACAGTTAGCTAAGGCAGTGGGTTTGGTGATTTGGTGATTGAGGTAATGCCCAAGGTGGTGCCTATAACTATCCACGCATGGTCCATTTAGCCCGGTGGTGGCTTGAATGTATACCTATCCACTAGCTATTCTAACTAGTTCCTCTAGAGAAGGCGAGCTTCTATTACGGATCCTCCTGACGACTTTCTATCTGATGATGCATTGTTATAGGGCCGGAATCCTGCTTGAAAATGGCTGTGCCATATTGTTGGAAAGCCAACAGCTACGGAATTGACTGTACCAATGTGATTTGGGTGCCAAAAGGTGATGAAAGAGGGGCAACCAGTTCATTGATGATGATGTCTGTGTCTCTGTCTCTCTGTCCTGTTCCCACTGCCGCGGGCCTCGCCCTGATCCTGAAAATACTAATGCCCAGCCACTAGTGAACCCCTGAATTCCCCCTCCTCACCGCCTTCCAAATCCAACACACCCCCTCAGTTGAGCCCGCGAGGGCGAAACTGGCTCTCTCAGCTGCCACTACCTTCCTGAATCCCTTCTGCCACCCTATTCTCTGTTTCTTCCTTTTTCCTGCTCTCTGCGAGCCTCTCCCTCACATCAACCAGTCCCATCTGCTCCCTGAAACTAACAAACTGCTCCTGAACAAGCGCCTTCGTCAGGCCATCTGCCATCATCTCTGCACTCTTGGTGTACATGACGTCGATCTTTCCAGCTGCGTATTCCTGCCGTAGCCAGTGGTTGTGGATGTCCACATGCCTGAGGTTCGTCTTGAGTTTCGCGATCTCCTCTGTAACTAGCCGGATTGTCTGAGTGTTGTCAACTTCAATGACTAGGCGCTGTAAGTCCAGTGTTACGCCCAACTCCTTGAGTAGGCGTGAGACAAAAAGGCCTTCCTTGGCTGCCTGTGAGAGAGCAAGGAGCTCTGCCTCAGTGGTCGATGTGGTGACGGTGTCCTGCTTGTTCGCCCGCCAGGCGATGAGACCACCGAAAAGCTTCATGGCGTAACCTTGGCTGCTTTTGCGATTCAGAGAGTTGTCGGCAAAACTGGCATCGCTGGCAATGCGGAGGTCGTCTGCTCCGCCAAACTGCAGGGCGAGAGTGCTTGTGTGTTTGAGGTAGAGGAGTACGCGGTCGGCGGCCTTCTGATGGGCAAGTCCAGGGTTGGTTGTAAAGCGAGCGAGTCTAGAGACTGCGAATGCGATGTCGGGGCGCGTGATGACGGCGTCGTAAAGCAGGGAGCCAATTTTTCGAAGGTAGGTAATGACATCCCGAGCGGTCGCTATGCCTTCATAAGGCAGAAGTTCTTCCTTGGTCATAGGTGACCCTGAGGCGGTCTCCGTCTGCGCGAGTGTGGCGATTTTGTCGATGTATGACTTCTGGGAGAGCCAAAGCAGGCGGTTCGAGCGGTCACGCAGGATTTCCATGCCCAGAAACCACTGGAGTGGCTCGCCGCCAGTCAGTTTGTATCGTGTGCGTAACTGAATCATCGTTCTGAGTGCCTCCTGGCGCTGAGACTCGCGAAAGGCGATGACAATGTCGTCGACGTAGAAGAAAATGATAACTCCGTTTCTGGTAAATGCGCAAGGTTCGTGGGGTACTGCCTTAAAGCCAAGATTGTCAAGTGCCCTGGAGAGCGTTCGTTGCCAGAGAAGCGGCGATCGGCGCAGGCCATAGAGCGCTTTGTTAAGCTTGAGGATCGTCTGGTGCCGCCGATGCCCTGGTGGCATGCGCATGAAGACGTCTTCGTCCAGATCTGCGTTGACGAATGCGTTGACTGCGTCAAACTGCAATAAATCGAGGTCGAATCGGGCGGTAATCGCCATCACTGTCCTGAATTATCTGCCTGCAAGCGTTGCGGCATAGTTATTTTCGGCTGCTCCTCTGAGCTGTTGGTCGCCTCTGACGACCAGCCTCGCCTTTGCCTTAACAAATCTGCCATGTTTGTCGAACTTGTACACGTAAACCCATCTGCAATCAAGCACCTTGTGCCCTCTGACCCGCTCGTCGCGGCTGGAAATCTCTGTCCAGGATCGCATCTCGGCGTGGCTCTGGAGGTGATCAGCCTCAGCCTGCGCAAAGAGCTATTGCCAATTCCCTCGTCAAGGGGTTCAGCCCAGACCGCTTCCATCGGTTGATCGTTCAGTGGATTGTCAATACCAACAGGGCTTTCACTGATGCCGAGGAGCCTGACCTATGCGCCACCTTCGAATACCTGAATCCATCTGTTGCACTACGGAGAGCCCATGTAACCGGAGATTCTATCCGAAATAAGATCATTGCAGAGTATTTCAAACACCGAGATACCATTTCCAATGTTCTGCGTCGCTGCCCTGGTCTGGTGCACATCTCATTTGATGGCTGGACTGCTCGAAATCGGAAGAGTCCTACTGTATGGGATGACGTGCTTCTTCAGACAGTGAGCATATCGAGACCCGAGATCCTATTGCATACTGGCATGAGCGGCGTCATAGATATCCCCGTCTGTCTCAGATGGCTCTTGATTTCCTCACAGTTCAACCCATGTCTGCAGAGTGAGAGGCTATTCTCGGCATTTGGTAGAATGGTCTCGCCACAGAGGACACTTCTCGATGCACAAATCGTCAGCATGTGCCAAGTACTTCGATCTTGGTACCGTGCAGGCCTGGTCAAACAGGTTGACCCTTTGCTGCTGTCAATTCAGGAGGAGGAGCTGGTGAATCCGCAGAGTTGTGGTGACGATGGAACCATGAATATGAAGGCCACAACATGGTTAAATGATCATACAGCTGTGGGGAGTGACGGAGAGGTGGAGGAGTTCACTACAGGGGGCTTTGGGGATGTTGCAATGGGGTTCAAATTTGACGAAACTGAAATCGAGGATGAGGCTTAGGATACTGCAGGGGTGATGTCAACGAGATCAACATTGTACACATACACATCATACGATGGGCATGTTGATCAACATCACGCGAGGTTTTGAGGTGATGTCAACATCAATTCCATATGCATCCCATGTGATGTTGTGCGGCATTGATTGGAACCTTGCACTGCAGGTTGATCGAGTTCCCTCTTTTTTGATGCAGTCTAGTCAATTCGTAGATGTGTCGTATAATGCCTTGGCCGGATTGTTGCCGCGGTTGCCTAATTGCTGCTAGCGCTGACTGGTTCCTAGTGGCGATGGTGATGTGCCTGTGACAGATGCTGGCCAGTACCTTCTCCAAGGCCATTGCGATGGCTGCTAGTTCTGCAGTGTATGGATTTTGCTCCTCCCGTGTTCCGAGGGCCACGGCATAGCTTGCCACCGTCTCGTTGGTTCTGTTGAAGAGAGTGTCCCGTGCGATACCGCCCATGCCAACAATGCCTCCCTTTACAGCCGAGCTAGTCGCAATCAGGATTCCCGTAGCTTTGTCGACCTTCTCGGCCGCCCTTGCTCGGTCAGCTTCAACCGTCGGCCGCAGGCGGGGTTCCCAAGGTAAGACGGCATATTCCTGGATCGTTTCCATCCGGTCAACTTCTGTTCCTTCTACCGCTCGGGCGAGTTTCTGCAGCGGGGATACGAATCGCACAGTCGTCCGGATTTTCTTCACCGCGAGGGGATGCGATCCGGGCAGGGTGTGGATGTTGATCCATAGCCTGACTGCCGCCTGGGTGTGTCGTTCTCGTATGGGGTAGATGCTCGCTTCAGCTTCCACCACGGCCGTTGCCGCGGTCCCGAAAGCTCCCGTGATGGCCAGAGCCCCGATCTTCTGCGCCCTGTTCAGTCAGCTCAGTGCCTTCCCTCCGCACGCATGCATTCAAACGTTGGCAGCGTAGTCCATGACAGGGGCTACTGTCGCGACAAACAGTTGCCTGGCTGTCCGTGGGGAAAGCATCTTCAGCCTCTTCAGGGCTAAAGCGGCTGCAAGACCTTTGGCTGCCGTCCTGGCTATGTGCTGCTTGTATCGGAGTTCGCGGTCCATCACTACACCTAGGATCTTTGCACTCTCAGTCGGCTTGACCATATCGCCTTTGACAGAGAACGGTTGTTCCGAAGATCGCTCTTTGTTCCTCGTAAAGTGTATGATGGCCGTCTTGTCGCTTTCAAACTGTGCACCGCTTCGTCTTTCCCAGTCTAGGGCTCTGTCAATGATAGCCTGGATGCCTGCACGATTTGCCTCTGCTGATGGACCCGTGACCCAGGCTGTGTAGTCGTCAACGAAGGCAATCGAGCCTCTATTCGCGTCGATTTTCTGCTGTACCAGGTCTGCATTGAAGAAGAGAAACAGTATTGGGGACAGCGGCGACCCCTGCGGCAGTCCCGCTTGGGGCAACTCTTGTCGCTCGGACGTGAACCCGTTTACCGCGATGGTCGCTGTGCGCCTGGAGCAGAAGGCATCGATCTATCTGACCACGGCGTCTGGTATGCCTCTTGCTCTGAGTCTCTGGAGCAGCCTGTCCTTGAAGACTCCGTTGTATGCACCCTTCACGTCGAAGCTGATCAGGCTGAGCACCTTCCTAGCTCTCCATGCCTTGTAGATCTGTTCTTGAAGTAGTAGGAGAGCCTGCTCGGTTGAGCGTCTTTTCCTAGCTCCGAAGTGGTTCCCAGGGAGAAGGCCAAAGGTCTCCACAGCATAGGATAGGCGTTCCGCAATGACTGCTTCCAGTATCTCGCCAAGCGTGGAGAGCAGCGAGATAGGTCTCCAGGACTTGGCCAGCGTGTAGTCGCTCTTCCCTGGCTTTTTTAGTGGAATGATCTTGGCGTTCCTCCATTGGCTAGGGATGTCGCCGTCTCGAAGCGAAGTCTGAAACAAATGGAGCACTCTGTCTTTAACAACTGGCCAGAGCTGTTTCCGTACCATTGCCAGTAGACCGTCTTCCCCGGGTGCCTTCCACCGTTTGGCGGACAAGACCTTCTGTCACGGGGCGTGGTCAGGGGAGTCACGGGACAGGGTCAGGTTCTGGCTAATGACTGAGTTGTGCGATGACGAGAGAGGAAGCTCTCGTAAGGGGACGCTAACGGAGAGGAGATACTGCTGCTAGTGTGGGTCCAGGTCGCGTAGGCACGTGCTGCCCACGTGACCTAAGCAGGTCAGGCTTGGTGCCGTGACACCTTCTGCTCTACCTCTTCCATTGTCAGGTCCGGCATTTGTACTGGTGCCCGCTGAGGACGTTGTCCCTCGTCTTTGATTCTCTCTGGCAGCGGCGTGGAAAAGGTGGCTAGTAGCGTTTGTGTGAGATGTGTGGGTCACGTGACCCCACATCTCTGTGGGGTTATCCACCCACCTCCCCGCGGTCGGCCTCTTTTCCTCCTGCTTCCCGAGCTTTTAGGAGTAGCCTCAGAATGGGGACTTCGTCTTCCTGCTTCCAGCCCTGTTGCCTGCTCCAACAGTTTGTGCTTGTTCTTCTTTGCCTTCCGTGACAGAGCCGTCAGGTCGGGTAAGCGGGGGTACCTTGTCGCCCATCGTGCCGCTGCCCGTTTGCAGGTACTTCGTTGCTTGCCAGATGTTGGCGTCGTCGGCTAAGAAGTCGTTCCAGTGTGAGCTTTTCTGTCTGCGGATAGCGTCATGGTACTCCTTGGCCGCATTCCTGGCTCGCTGTTCGAGTTCTGGTGACGTTTGCCTCATCCTTCGTCGAGCTCTCGCCTGGTTTCTCCAGAATGTATAGGCCTGGCGGAGCCGTGTCAGGTCTGTTGTCCACCACCGCTTGGCGTATGGTGATGGCTTGGCTTTGTGCGTCAGGCCGAAGACCGCTTCGGTTACCGCCGTCATGAGCCGGTCCGTTTGCTGCTGGACGCTGCCACCCTGGGGGGTATGCTCGAGGTTCGCTGCCACCCTGTTCCTGATTTCTGCCCAGGGCGCGTCCTTGAAGAGGAACCTCGTCTCGGTTTGGCGGTCTTCTACTGCGATGTCGAATGTCGTCTCGATCGCTCTGTGGTCAGATCCATGGTCGCAGGGGTGGATCCGGCAATTGAGTAGTTGCTCTGTTAATTCCGCTGAGGCCAGTACCAGGTCGATCGTACTTTCTGCGTCCCCTGACTGCCATGTTTTCGTGCCTCTTGGGAGGAGGCTGCAAAGGGAGTGTTCTTCCGTGAGGTTGATGATGCGGTCTCCCTCACCTTGCCTCAGTGGTGACACGTCGTCTCCACCCCAGAGCTGGTCGTGGCGGTTGAAATCGCCCGCCAGAATGATGTCCGTCCTATTTCCCGTTCCGTTTCGGAACCTCCTAATCAGCCGGTCGAGCTCTCTCATCGCCACTTCCAGTGTTTCGTCGCTGCCTCCCTCCACGTAGACTGACACCACCAGCACCACGCGGTCTGGGAGTCGGATCTGTGCTGCGGTGAGGTCTGCCGACGGCACTGGAATTTGCTCGGCCTCCACATCGCTTCGTACCCATAACATACTCCGAATCGGCCATCGTGTCTCTCGTCTTGTCGTTGGTATGAGTTTTGTCCAATTGTGATGACTCATTGGCATCATCGCCACCGAACCGTCAATCAGTCTGGCATATGGCTCGGAGATTGCCAATGTTGTATAGTTCTTAAGCCCCTCGTCGTTTAGCAGACTCTCTTGCACTTCTCTCCGTTTGCGGACGTTAAGCTGAAGGATCTCAAGCGTTCTGGGTCCCATTGTGCAGCTAGCGTACCCGACAGTTCTTGCTGAATGATTCGTGTGGTCCTCTGCAAAGCATGCACTTCAGGACTGCGGAATGACAGGTCTTGTGGTGATGACCCTGTTCCGCACACCTTCCACATACCTGCGGCTTCTTGCATGCGAAGGCCTTGTGGCCCATCTCTTGGCATCTGTAGCATTGGGTTGGGCCCTCCCGGGGCGCGAACACGGTCGTGTAGGCGGATTCTCCGGCTAGATGGAAGTAGTGCCCGTCTAGAAGTCGCCTTGCTTCGCTACCTTCGTCACGTAGACGACCATCAAGCCGTAAGCCTTGCCTGTGTCCTTCCTGCTGAGCCAGGCAATCTTCGCGATGTTGACGTCGTTCTCTGCCCCAAGGGCTTCCATTGCCCCTGGCAAAACGTTCCCGTCGGCGTCGAGGACCGCTGTGCGGTTAGCATTGTCGATCCTCACTGGGTAGAGCTGATCCCTCAGCACCCGTACGCCCGGGACAGTGATCTTTTGTGCTGCATCCTTGACAATCCTGGTCTCGTTTTCGTCTCTACAAACCACCTTGACCCGATCCGGGTTCCGGGCCTCCTTTACAACCGCAGCGCAGCGCCAATCTCCCATGTTCTCTAGTGTCCGGACCTCAGCCTCGATTGCTTTTCTGACATCCGCCACCTGGACTTTGTTCTTTTCGTTTTCCTCCGCTCTGGATGTGTCGATGGCGCAGAACATCGTGTCGGTAAAGGATGAGGGTGTCGTGTTCGACGAGGAGAGGGTGCGTACCCCGCTTGGTTGGCTTGATGGTGGGGTGCGAGCGACTTCGGCGTACGATGCTCTTGCGAGCATCTCGTTTCGCTGTGCGTTGAGCACCTCTAGGAGTGTCTGTAGCGCTGTCTTCCCGGTCCCAACCTCGCTGTTGGTCGCGTTCCCGCCTCCTAGTGCGCGTGTTCCTCTCGAAGCGATGGTCCGCGTAGCATCGCTCGTAGTCCTTCTCGACGCGGTGGTTGCGTCTTCGATCGATTGCATGGCTTCGCGAACTTTCGCACTCGGTTTCGGGGCGCGGCTCGGTCGCTTCAGCGGGGATGGTTGGTCCGCCACCTCGACCACGATCTGGTCCTGCGCCGACCCCGCCATTTCGCCGTCCTTCGGCAGTCGATGTCGACAAAGGATTGCGACGCCCTTCTTCATTTCCCACCACGTCACGTGGGTTCGCGATCTGGAACCCTAACCCTTTTTCATTCCATGATCCTTGTGGTAAACAGACGCGTTCCACGTAGTGGACAGGGGATTCCGAATTCCTCTTCAGGCCAACAACAATACGAAGAAAAGCGACAACACCATGGATGCCCTGTTCAATGCATCAGACGAGGCTGTTCGGGCCATTCTTGTTGCGCTCTGCGACGATGCTCGCGTCTACTCCAAAGCTCTCAAGTATCTCGCGTTGGTTGAGCCCAAGGGGAATCTGGTCAACCACAAGGCAGAAGGTGGTAATCCACAGGGCGGACCAAACCCTAAGAAACGGAAACTGGCCCCAACCCTTAGTATATGCGTTCAATGCGGTCAGGCTTTTTACGAGGGGACTACCGACAGGTGCAGATATCATGATGGTACAAAGTGGCAGCGGGCTGGCCGTCGAAGCCTACCTACCCGCATTTTCGAAGTTCATCAGGACAAGCTGACACCTGGGTTAGGCGAGCTCGAGCCCGACTATGATGGTTATTTTTGGGCAGATCATGATGAGAGATGCCATGGGGTGATCGACACGGATACCATGCGAGAAGACTTCCCCGATGGGTTTGTATGGGACTGCTGTAACAGGCTCGGTTCCGAACCAGGTTGTCAAAAGGGATACCACGAATCAAACCCCGAAAAGAAGTGTGGTCAGTATGGATCTGAAGCGGAGGATACTGAGAAGTCGGAGGACGGAGGTGAGGAGGAGGGTGAGGAGAAGGGTGATGAGGAGGGTGAGGAGGAGGGTGAGGATAACGAAGATGACGAGGATTAATCATGAAGACTTGCGCAATGGACCCCGCCCGACCCATTTTGAGACCATGTTATTCAGGTATTTATAGGTATCCTAGATCCTGAAGGGAATGCAGCCTCGGTAACACAGCACTTCAAGTTACCACCCTGTGCCCCTTCCTGCGCCGATATTTGTTCGTACCTCTACTCTCTAGCAAATGTGTCCTGTTGCCTATTCCCAAGAACTTCAGGGCCAAAGTATCACCTACTACGTGCGTAGTTAGTATATTCAGCTTGACTGTCTTGAACATTTAGCCACGGCAACATGGCTCCAATAAACGATGAGACCCGTAAACCAAGATGACCACTGCGATGCACAATGTAGTCCACATACCTATAGAGGAGCTTGGCACTGTAGGGGGTTGACACCTTAGGTTGTCTTTAGCACATTTTTAGCTAGTTCCGCCGCGAGTATCGAACATCGTGAGAGATGGATTGAACAGGTAGCTAAGCACATATAAGTATCTAAGTGCCCGATATTTATTCCAAATGGTCAAGAACAGCTGTTAACAGAGATTGCCGGCTTTGGCACATCTCCAGTTGGCGATAAACTAGATTCCACGCCGCGGAAACCTCAAATCTGCAAACTGGGAGCGACCCAGAGACAATAACTTCCATGGACTCTTCAACCTGCGATTCCCTGTCATGTTCCTTTTCTCAAGTCCGATATGTTTGTTTAGTCGCAGACTAACGCCTGGTGCATGAGCACCTCTCCCTCCCCCGGATCATGGGGTTGACCACTTCCACCAGTTCAGTTGGTGAAAATTTGAAAAACCGGGCAGCGGGGTTTTAACCGCAAAGCAAACTGCCCTGCCAGCGGTGGTTGTTGTTATCAACATGCAAGTTTTCGACGTCCCTTCCAACATACTCTGATAGGGTTCAATGTGATAATTTACCGCTTAAAGCATCCCTTAGTTAGCTCAGATCTACCGGCCGCACAGTCTCGGAAGCGGCGCTTCTTCCGGTGTTCAATCTTGGAAGTCTTGTCAAGACAAACAAACCCCAAGCATCTTGTCCCCTTCATCGCTGTTTAGAGCAAGGTGGATAAGCAGCACCCGAGGAAGATGGCGGATGAACCGAGCTCTAAGTTCTGCCCAGTCAGTGCTGCTTCAGGAGGTGATATCCACCCCTGGTTTTCAGCATCCCCATCTTCCCATACTACGCAATCGCCGCCGAGAGCGTTGCTATGCTGTCGGATCGGGGTCAAAAGGGCCCAATAAACACAAAGTTCAAGCCGGACCGGACCCGGACAGCGGTTCTGCTTAGGTATGTATCTCGTTCACAAAAAAAGAGTCCGTCTAAACCCGAGTGGAATAGATGAGGAGGAAACATAAGAGAGATACTGTTTGCTGTTGAAGAGGGCATCGCACTGGATAATTCTATAAGTTTACTCTTAATTTAGTTTCTGTTGGACTGTTTGGCTCTTCTCAAGAAATCCATTGTGCTGCATCGCGGTTTGCGAGGAGCAGACACTTCCACCAATCTCGTTTTTGTCGAAGTGAATCCAGCAAACATCTCGCCGGCCGAGAATAGGTAAGCACCCTCCCAGTGGCCGCTAGCGAGGCCCGGGGTTGCCCCGCAGGGGGGACAACCGCGTTTGAATCCTTCAGTCGAGTTTTCACTGAAACTGGGGAAACGAGCCAGCTGAGCACCCGTGATGAAGAATCCACCCCACCACCAACGAGGACCCCTGCAGGAGTCAATTAATTACGACGAGACTGCAAGAGTTGGACGCTGCGCCTCTAGCGCACTTGAGAGTGATTGAATCCAAAATGTGGAGGCTTGGCGTATCAAACAACTCGAGGCACAGCTAGACGGCAACTGCCCACCTGCCATATCGCCATCATTTTTTCCCCGTTCTTCTTTCCCAAGCAATGAGGAAGGTGGCTGCATCTTCTCTTGAATCGTTCTCGAGCATGTGCTGGGGTGATTGTTGATTCGACTGGGAATCTACCTACCTACCCACTGATGTTGTCTAGCCGAAAGCTCGAAGACATGCATTCGGATCGGGAAGATCTGCCTGAAAGGACTTGGAACAGAACGGGCAACACAAAGTACCCCAAGATCAGAGTCAGTTACCATCCAACCCATGAGGCACATGTAAACACCCAACCACAACTGAGTGGGGTGTGGCCCGGGGTAAACAACCTGGAACTCGGCATTGCATAGCATACAGGTGGAAAGCCTGGCGGAATCGCGCTGTGATTTCGGCATCCGGCGATTTCTGCTCTGTGATTTGGACAAACGGCTTGCATGCTCCCGCCATGATTTGCGTTCCTGTTTCGTAGCTGTGGCGTTCCTGCTGAGTCTTCCGTGTGCCTAAATCGAAACTCCATGGCGCCAAGCTGGGCCGTTGTCCTTGGCGGACTAGATCAGTCAAATCGGCATCGGGGAACTGGAACGTCGGCAATTTTTGGCTTCCTCCCGATGTCGAGGGCTCGGCCTTGGCCCATCTGCCGTCCTTCGACACTGGCACTACCTGACACCAGGTAGTCTTGACTCCTCAGTTCAGATAGCTTAAGTTGCCAAACGCACGCTCGAGGCGGAGTTGTGAACCAACATCCTCGGTGAGTTCAACCAACAGACTCTTGGCAATTCGAGCACAAATTGAAAGAGGCGCGAAACCTTCCATTTGAAGCGAGAGCAAACCCCAGTTCCTTGCGACCAGACCGGAGCACTTGATTGGGGGTGATCCTGCATGTCCGGATGGGGACAAGGCAAGCGTGGGATGCAATATATAGACGGTAAGGCGGGAGTGTTGCGGGGTTCGCTAATATGGACGGGTCAATGGGCATCGCTGTTGACACATGCAAAACGTCGCTCCTTTCCCCTTCGCGATCCTCTTCCTGTCTGTTGGTTCTGATGGCGGCTCTGTCGGATCTCTCTTGGCCGCCACAGGCTTGGCCACTGTCAGCCGTTGGATGGCTTGCGGACCGATTAGAGATGGCGAGGAGGACACGGCTGCGTCTGACAAGATTGCGGATGAGATGGGGACAGGGGGAGGAGATCCGTCCAGCGGCCCAGGAATGAGCCAATGTGAGAGGTTGCGGTTGTTCGCTTTGCGCTAGCGGGACGAGACTGCGAACGAACCGGCTTGGCATGTTCAGCGTGGCATTTAGCCGGAGGAGACGGGTTCCATTCCTGCAAGGTTCCTCCAATCCAGTGGCTTGACAAGCAAGCTTCGAGGCGCCGCCCCGCGAGTGCCAAGGCGATGCCCAGGCTGGCTCTGGGCTTCGGTACCTGCCAACCACGCAGTGCAGGCCCGACCATCTGCCATTGTCCGAAATCGATCAAGGCCGCCGCTCCGTGGTTGGTTGCCTTGGTCGCGGGGTCACACCCTCCCTCGCTTGTTCCGTCTGTCTTGTTTGTGGACTCGCGTCGACGAGGAGTGGATGCTGGAGGTGGAACTTTCACCCCGGAATTGCTACCCACCTCCCGCCCCGAGGTAACTGCGGACATTTTTGGCGTGGTATACGCTAGCGACAACTCTCAACAGCGGATACGGGGCACGCTGAGTGGGAGAGGAGCAGAGAAACACGGGAGCCCCCCCCTTGCTCCGCGCGAGTACACCGTGGCGAGCGTGGGTGGCACAAGGGGGGTGCTACCCACACAGGGAGACAGGTTGGGGTATTGGGGAATCATGGGGTCAGTCCGACCTTCTCCACGGGGAATCGCATCCTCACGATCCTTGCAGCCCCGCTAGAGAGCCTCCTTGAGCCAACCGCAGTCCGACTCTCAGGCGGGACCTAACGGCATACCCTCCCTGTTGGGATGATGGAAAGAAAGGCGTTCTTTTCTTGGAATGGGGGAATTGGGGAAAGCGCCAAAAACCCCTTCCCGGGGTCGTGGATCGCCTCTGCAGCGTCGTATATTGGACCCATGGGCGCGGTTGGAATAAAGGCAGCCTTCTCCTGCGGTTCTCGACAGACGGACGCGTCCTCTTCTTCCTCATCTCCTCCTCCTCCAGCTCTTCCACCAGTCTCGCTTTGATACCGGGAGACCGTCTGGACCAGCGAAAATGGCGATCGCAGCCGCTGCCGAAGTCGGCAAGTCCGACCCCATCATCACTCGGCTTGCCAACGAGGACAAGAAGCCGTTCTACAAGAAGCCGAACTTGCTCTTCTTGTACCTGATGCTCTTCCCGACATGCATGGGTATCGAGCTCACCTCTGGGTTCGACTCCCAGATGATCAATGCGCTTCAGATCGTCGACTCGTGGGTCGAATGTAAGTACCTAGCTTTAGCAGCAGCGCCACCCCTTGCTCATCCGGGCAAAGCTGACTCGGGTCGCGTCCAGACTTTGAGAACCCGCAGGGTGCCCTCAAGGGCATTATCGCGGCCGCTTACTCGCTCGGTGCCATTCTCTCGCTCCCCTTGATCCCCATGGTCAACGACCGTTTCGGCCGCCGGTGGTCCATCTTCGGCGGATCTTGCATCATGGTCATCGGAGCTCTCATCCAGGGTTTCTCGGTCCACGGTTAGTATCTTGTGTGTTCTGCGCTGGCCGCTTCAAGCTGACCTCGCCCGTGACAGTTGGCATGTACATCGTCGCTCGTATGATTCTCGGTTTCGGAATCCCGACCTGCATCGTTTCTGGCTCCTCGCTCATCGGCGAGCTTGCCTACCCCAAGGAACGCCCGGTCCTGACCTCGCTTTTCAACGTCTCCTACTTCGTCGGACAGATCATCGCTGCTGCCATCTGCTTCGGCACCAACAGCATTCAGACGCAGTGGGCTTGGAGAATCCCCTCTCTGCTGCAAATCTGCCCCTCCTTGCTACAGCTCACCTTCGTCTTGTGCGTCTTGCCCCTGACCCTTACCGTACGTTGATGCCCTGATCAAATGCTGACCGTTGGGTCCACCGAACAGCTTTTTGCCCGAGAGTCCCCGATGGCTTATCACGAAGGACCGTGCTTCCGAGGCACAGGCCATTCTCGCCAAGTACCACGGCGAAACCGACCGTGGGGCTGAGTTCGTTGCCGCCGAGTTTGCCCAAATGCAAACTGTCATCCGGCTGGAGGTTGAGGCGTCCAAGAAGTCCTGGTTGGATCTTTTCAAGACCGCCGGCATGCGCCGCCGTCTTCTAATCACCACCATGCTGGGTCTCTTCACCCAGTGGTCTGGCAACACTCTGATCTCGTAAGTGGTTACAAACTGCCTTTCGTTGCAAGTTCCATCGTGCAATGGGCTTTTGGCCAGGAACTCGAAGGACTGACACGAGCCCCCCCGTTTAGGTACTACCTCGGAGATCTCCTCAAACTCATTGGGTTCCAGGACTCGCAGTACATTCAAAAGATCAACGTTTCCATTGCGTGCTGGAGTTTGTTCTGCGGCGTTGTCGTTTCGCTGCTCGTCGTCAAGATCCGCCGCCGTGTCATGTACCTCGCCTGCACCATCAGTCTGTTGCTCTGCTACATTGCGTGGACCATCTCTATGGAACGTGCCCAGACCGCCGAGCAGTCTGGCCACCCGAACCAAGCGGCCAACATCGCCGTGTTGTTCTTCATCTATGCCTACTCTCCTTGCTACAACATGGGTTACAACGCGCTCACCTACAGTAAGATCCCCATACTAACTTCGGCCCGTTTGAGATTCGAAACGCTAACCATCCCGCAGCCTACATGGTTGAAGTTTGGCCTTACGCCGAACGCTCGAGCGGTATTGCCGTCTTCCAGCTCTTCGGTCGCCTGGCTTCCTTCTTCACCACCTTCGTCAACCCGATTGGTCTCAAGGACGTCGGCTGGAGGTACCTCATCTCGTACTGCTGCTGGCTCGCTTATGAAGTCGTTTTCGTCTACTTCTTCTTCCCCGAGACCCACGGCCGCACTTTGGAAGAACTTGCCTTCAGTATGTCCCCCCCGCCTGTGACCTGCCCATCTTCAAACCACGCAACGTATCTAACACATGGCAGTGTTCGAGGACAAGCGTCTGGCGGACGAGGCTGTTGCCGCCGTCGAGAAGGTTATCCAGCACGATGACGACGTGCCTATCGATCAGAAGCAGGCCACTGCCGAGACCAAGGAGAATGTGCTTTGAGTAGTCTCTTCCCTTGTATCATATCAGGCGCGCGAGACTAGGAATGGTGGTGGAATACCCAGTCATTACTTAATAGGAGTGGTGACTTGCTTTTGAGAAGATGCTTTGAGAACCTTGGGTTGTTGTCGTTCACCCGGGCCATACCATTATGTGGACAAACTATGGGTTAACATTGGGTTGGTCTCGGGTTTATATTCTTTGCCATTGAAGTATAATTTTACGAAGCATCTTGCTCCCCGCCTACCCCTGCGCGAGCGATTCCCCTCTTTCTTGCGCTTGCCCACGCTCCTTGCATCCTCGGGCTCTGCACGTGGGGCCCCTTCTTCCGAGCAGCCTCGATTCATCAAGGATGACTCGAAGTCTCGAGATGCGGCGTGCCGAACCCAAATCTGTGGGTCTTCATTAATTGGGTTGCATGGAACCAATGCTGATCATGCGCTATGTTTCGGGCTAATCCGTTATTACCAAGGATCAGAGTTCTGGAAGGTGGATGATGGACAACCCACCATTCTTGATCTCGGTATGGGAAAATGCCACGGGATGATACCTCTCCAAATTGGCCAAGCCCAAGCAACAAGCTCCTCCCCGCGCGCGTGTGATGTTGAGAGTATAACCGTGGTCCGTTTCTCGGGAGACTGGAACAGTTCTCGCTCGTCCAATTCTCCAGCTTGTCTCCCTCCACGCTGAAGTAGATTCCTCACCTATCTTCTGAGATGCATCTGGAGACTTGCTTGGTTACCCTCTTCTCCGCGCCGCTTTTAGCGGTCGCGATCCCGACCAGTAACCTGGTTACCGGAGAGCAAACTGGTCTCCTCGCAAGACAACGGCAACCGCCCCCCCCTCCGTGTGTCCGGATGGACCCGCCCCCTACGCAGGAAGAGACAGAGGCTCGGTTTAACGCATTTGTGGAGGTTTTTGTTGGGAAATCCAAGAACCTGGCAAAAGCATTCGAATACATTGCTGAGAACTACATCGTACGTCTACGCGCGGCTTTCTGTGTTCAAAAGTCTGACTCGTTGGCGCTAGAACCACAACCCTGCGGCACAAAACGGGTCACAGTCCGCGTGGGATATTCTGAGTCCTTTCTGGGATCAGTCTCCACATACCTATATCCGCTCTACCATCGAGGACAACATGTCTTGGGTCAATTATAGATCTGGTGGTTTCGGAGAGGTTGTCGACCGGTTCCGGTGGGATGCAGGTTGCATCGCCGAACATGTTCGTTATCATTCAACCCCCGGCATTGTGCTAGGGATGCGATTGTTGGACCATTTGAAGAGGCTAACGTCTGGGATAGTGGGATCAAGGAGAAGTATACCCGACTTCGTAAGCAGCATTGAGAAGTTTTCACTTTCTAGCCAGGTAATGGTTGAGGGATCAGGACAGGGTCGACGGCGACAGTCATGGCAACAACGAGAATTTAGTGGCGCCTGGAATTTTAGCTTGGCTACCAATTGTGACTTTAGCCATCAAGTAAACAGAACACAGCTCACGGCGCCAGTCCAGCTGTTGAGCTAGTCGTCCCTTCACAAGACGCTGCTATATACAGGCTCTTCCAAACCCTCCTCCCCTCAGTAGGTATGTGTTGAGTTCACCAAAGAGCTGGGTCCGCCTCTTCTTTCGTCGTTGCGATGGCAACCTTGTCGTAAAACACTTGCCGGAACCCCTGAGTGCCCTTCATGCCCTTGTCATCGTGCCATCCGTTCGCGTACAGACCGACACGGAATTGGAACGGAACGTCTTCGGATACGGTTGTGGCAACGTTCTGTTCGTCCAGAACCTTCTTGTCATCAAACCACAAACGTAGAAAGCCCGTGGCCTCGCTCTCCCAGCGGGCTTGAATCATCACCTTGTGCCATTCTCCGGCAGTGAGTGTTACATCGAGGGGTAGTTCCTTCGTCTTTTGGTCACAAACGCTCCCTGACTTTAGGCGGGTGAACAGTTTCGTCCCCTCGGCCCAGAACATTGTGGTGGGCATGAACGTATCACATTTGTCGAAAGGCGCGATGAACTGCGCCAGGTCGTAGCTTTGCGCGGGGTCAAACTGCCAATCAGGCGGGAGCCGGAAGGCAAACCCGTAGAACCGTGTGTCGCCGTGCTTATAAGCGTTCAGGACGCGGACCTCGGAGTGGTAACGACCAGTGTAGGATTCGTCAAAGGTTTGGGTCATGACAAGCGCCGGCGGCTCGTCGAGAAAAACATCGGTGACCTCTTTAATTTCTCCGTTATGCTCCGTTTGGGTCCCGCCCCAGCCGGTCAGAGTTCCTCTGTTGTTGAAGATTTGCTCAGCCCGCACTGCGGGCCACGCCGTGAGGAGAACGGAGAGAATGATGGGGAGGACCATGATCAAAACTTGGGGTTGATGTTTGGAGAAGATGAGGGGCTGAGGGGTTTGCTTTGATCGTTTTCAATGGCTGGAATAAATTGGGGCTGATGGATCTGCTTGCTGAGGTGCACAACTCAGAAGGCATTGAAGCAGTGTGACTCGTCGGTCTTTATATGCATCTTGTGAAGGAAACAGAACCCGCCATTTATTTTCTGTTATCGTATCTTTGAGACTTTGAGCGCGACAGCGCATACGCAGCGACGCCATAAACTTGCTAGGAGTTTCTAGATACGAGTATCGTTTTGATCGAAACAGTCAAAACCAGCCGGGCCCGCCGCCTTGGTGACGCCCAGCAGTCCTGCCAGTGCTGAGTGGGTGGAAGCCGTGAGGGCGGCCAGGGCCCACAAACTGGATGGTAATACATACCTCGTACCGACCCGATGGGATGTACCCCGAACGTGGAGCTGCGATTTGCACTCGTCTATGTAGCGTATTACGAAAATAATATCATCGGCCAAGGAGGCTTTGAAAAAAAGATGCCATTTCTGCATTCATGGAAAAAATGAGTGTCTTCGTTGACATCGCTTGCACGAGACACTCGCTGTCAATGAGTGGTCGAGAGGCGTCCGCCGTTTCGGTTTGCTGACATGGCCGGCGCTCCTGTCCGTCGGTCCCTTTCCAGAACAAGGGCCGAGGCTTCACACCTCCAACCAGAAACAGCGGCCTTGCAGGGGGCCAAGGCGAGGGAATGATTGATGCTGATTCGCACGTTTCGTTGCAACCCAGATGGCGGTTTGTCACCTAGTCAAGACTGTGTGCAGCTCGCAAAGCAATGATTGCGTCCCGATCGTACTCGTGCTTCCGCTTCATGGAGTCGATGTACATGAAAGTGTGCGGGCAGCCCAGGTATCTCTTGATCGTGGCCTTGTTTCCGCCGGCGACGAGCTTCATGGCATATGCTTCCCCTTCGTCCCGCAGTGGGTCAACCTCAGCTGTCCGAATAAACGTATCGGAAAGGTTGCTCCAGTTTGGTGCTTCGAGCGGCTCGAACCACCAATTAGGCCACATATTTTGCAATCCGGGAAGTGCCTCTTGTGGCATACACAAACGACCAAAGTACTTGATGCGGGCCCACGGAAGTACTGGACCTCGGTAAAACTCGTGAAAAGACGGGAAGGGCGATTCGGTATAGTAGGTGTAGGCGAGTCCTCTTGTTGCCGGCGTCACAGACGCCATGCAAAGCTTCAATGGGATACCGGCATCGCGGGCCATGTGTTGTAGTACCAGGCAGATGTGTCCACCAGCCGATATACCGCCGATCGAGATGGAATCAGGGTTAATGTTGAGTGCGGTGGCCGACTCTCGAACCTACCGTTGGGGATGAGAAGAGGTTAGGCCTAGTCAGGGGAGGAAGCATCTCACCCATTTCAAGGCATCCCATGCGTCATGTATGCATTTACCCCACGTAGTTTCTGTCCTAGTTAGTGGTTTCTGTGCGTCTAAGAGAAGGCTACCGGATGTTGGGTTACGCACCTGGACACAACCGATAGTCGACATCGACCACCGAGACCCCCGCCCCCCTCATGGTGAGACAGAGCGTGGCCTCGGTATCTAGATTACCGAGAACGAAGCCGCCGCCTACTCAACCGAGTTAACGAGAACCCGCAAAACGTCGGGTGTTGATAGGAGGATGACTCACCGTGAAAGTTTAGATGCACAGGGTACGGGCCAGGACCATGTCTTGCTTCATCCGGACTGTAAACCCGCACGGGAATAGTGGCACCGTCCCGTGACAGATAGTTGGCGTCGGTAACCCCTGGATATCCCGATGTGTCAAGAGCACAGGGTGGCTGATACACCTCTGGGTGTTCACGGACATGCTCGATGGGAGGCTGCACAGCTGCCTTTGGGGGCTGGTTGTTAGCAAAGTGGGCGAGAAACTCGGGATCCAGTTTAGCAAGAATGTGTTCTTCAATGAGCCCCTCGATGGCCCCCCAATCCTGAGCGGGATCAGGTTTCGTGGTCTCGTCCCCATCGTTGCGTTCGGTTTCCATCCTTGCGCTAGGGTAGATACAGGAACGTTGGCATCAGACGGTGCGGCCGATTCACGTTCGGGACCCCGGTCGTTTTCGGTCGTGGAGTTGGACTTGGTTATGACACAATGGATTGGCTAGGAGTTGGATACTTAGTCACAGTTGGCGGTTCTGAGGAGCCAAGTGGGCGGTTTAACCTCTTCGGAGGGGTTGATATCCCCACATGGAAGTCCACAGCTCGTGGTTTCCGTCAATTCCCGGGATTCACAATTCATGTCCCACAAGCTCGGTTCCTTCCGCCCGACGGTTACAGGAAATGGAACATTGGGGGAAATACCCGAAAGGCCGGCTTTCAGCAGCGGCTAGCAGCGGGCCTCAAGTGGTTAACGGCGGGGGTCGATCGATACACACATGCAGATATGCATCACAGGCAAGTTAGGTACTTTACAACCACGATACCACAAACTCGGCGTGTAACAAGCCAAGTTGTAGCCGGGAAGTGCCCGTACTGTCGAGACTTGCCCATCAGCGTGTGAACCGGACGCGGCTACCGGCGTCGCCGTATGGGGCATGCACCATATGTATGTATTCTTTTAGATCCACCCGGAAACAGGGGCTAGCTGACCAGGATGAAGCCAGAATCAAGGCGCGTACACTAATCTCCTACCATGAGTACAAGTGCGGGGTTTGTTGTTCCAGTCGTCGCCTCGAGAGATGAAGCCTGGCACCCCTCAGTCTTCAACAAAGAAAGCAATAACACCAGACGGCGGCGGGGCTAGACACTTACAAAAATTGTAACCCTCTAGTTCAATCAATCCCTAGATCAAGATCTCAAACGTCGCTGGCCCTCGGCTCTACTTGATATGTCGAGCCACAATCTCAGCGCCACTGACCGTCTTCGGAGCCGCCAACCGATCCCGACACCGGTTCCGGCCTATCTTCCAACAGCGGAATCACCTCTAACAGTCGACACGGCTCTCTACTCCTCGGCACAACAAGCACCGCGTGTATTGCTTGAGGAATTCACTCTCCCGATCCGCTCCGGCCGCGCTTGGAAAGCGCCCGCTGGAAGCATCGTCCGGATCAGCACCCCCGAGGGCTCCCAGGTGGGCGACCTTAATATTTGGAATGCTCATAATCCTCGCGAACGTTTTTGGGCCTCGCGAACCCGGCAGCTACATGCGACACACGTGTCGACCTACGACAGACTATGGTCCTGTCTGCCATACATGCGGCCCTTGGTAACCATCATCTCGGACAGCTTGGCGTGGTACGGGGAGGATGAGCACGGCGGCCGCGTCCACGACCTCCTTGGAACCCGTTGCGATCCGTATATCAACACGGTTTTGAGTGGCGGAGAGTATGATTTCCATTGCCACTCCAACCTAACCCGTGCGATTTTGCCCTTTGGGCTAGCCGAATCCGATGTCCACGATGTCATAAACATCTTTCAGGTGACAGGACTGGATGCGGAAGGGAGGTACTTTATGAATCCGTGCCCGGCAGCGGGTGGGGATCACCTGGAGTTTCTCGCAGAACAAGATATCCTGATGGCTCTGAGTAGGTTTATCCAACTACCATCGTATATTAGTAGGCCACATCCCGTCTAACAAGGACTATAGGCACTTGCCCCGGAGGGGATTTATCACTATGGGGTTTTGGTGCTGATAGCGAGAAGGAGATGATAAAATGCTGCCGCCCGCTCAAAGTCGAGGTATTTCGTCTAGCTGATGAAGACTTCCTACACGAAGCCGGTTGGCAGCCGGCTGAGCCTTCCAAGTACGGGGGGAAACATGGGATGGCTGTCCCGGAAGGAGAACAGGGACGGGCAGGAGTGTGAGCATAAAGCGAGAAGACAGGATAGATACCGAAGAAAAGTAAATTCGACGTTGCCCCAAGCTCTTCATCTCCCCATGATACGGTGATTCTCTAAAACTTCAAGTCTCGACGAATATCGACCATGTAGAAAGCAGGTACCTAGGGAGTTGGATCACAGCCCGGGCTCAGCATCATAGTTAGCCGCAGCCTGTCTCTTAATCTTGTGCGGAACGCTTCACAACAAATGCACCTCGATCCATGGTGTTGATGACAATGACTCCACTAGGGAAGAAGGGATAGTGACTCCACGACCCAGTAAAGGTCACATTTCCACCACCTGGGAGATGGTCATCTTCGGGGTGAGTGTCAAAGAAGGCGACCTCGATAATGCCTTTGCCCGTTGGGTCTGAAGACACGGAACGCAGATCGAGGATACTGAGTCCCAGCCCATAGTTACTCTGGTAAGAAAAGCCATCCTTCACGAATTGGTTGTGGTCGATTCCCTTCCGCAGACCTTTGTAATGGCCGGTTTGTTTCGGTGATTCGAGAGAAGAAATGTCCCAGATATATGAGATGGGATAACCATCGGCAGCAAGGCCTGACTTGTCGAACTCGTCGTACTCATCGTCGGTAATCAGGTACTGCTGCCATTGGGGGTCCAGAACCCAGCCCTGATGGGTGTAAACAAAACCTTCGTATGACGTGTTCGAGATGACTTTGATATTCTCCTTGTCGCTGACATCAAAACTGCCACTTCGCGTTAACCCTGCTGTCCGTAGGTTTCAATGGTATACACTTACATTGTCAACGAGTCTTCGTCGTACCCGTAACAGATATCCCTCCCATCGTACTTTGTATCAGGCCCCCTGTATACGATACACTGGGCGTCATGGACATATCCGTCGGCACCCGTGCCGCCCAAGGTCCGGGGATTGGACGGGTCCGTCAAGTCGAAGAACACGAGCCCCGCGCCAAGCGGCCCGTCTCGAGGTTGAAAGCCCGTTGCCACGCCGTAATTCAACTCTTCATTGGTAACAACGTTGTGCGAGCGGCCGAGGGGGAGACCTTCAGCCCAGAATCCTGTGAGATCCTCCTGATTGTTGAAAACCACGGGACTAGATGAGTCAACATCGAGAAGCTTGCTCAGGTCAAAGATCTGGATACCGTGGCGCTCGGCCTCACTTCCAATGAGGATGTAACTTTTGTATCCTTTGATTTCGCGCCACAGCGAGATAGGGGCTCCATCATATTGAGGTAAACGGCCAAGGTAGATGAGCTTCCCCCTGGCGTTGACCTCGGCAAAAGCGGTGCCATCTTCCTGAGCAATGGCAACAAACTCGCGGCCTTCGGCGCTTGTCCAGCCCCAAGAGCCTGCTCCTCTACCGGACGAACTGCCGAGTTGGGCATGTGTTTTGAAATCGAGGAGGTCGAGACCCTGGCATCGGAAAGTGTTGTTGGGATCGCCCGGAACCAGCGCTGCCGTGCCATCCACGCAAGCGATACGGTCCGTTTCTTCGCTAAACGTTGCGTATTGTGTCGAATCGAAAACAGCTTGCCTCGCCATTTCTCCCCATTGTCGCTACGCCGCAGTTAGTTATTGTCGGAAAGGGATCGTTTACTCCCTCACCTAAAACTCACCTCTTTTGTTGCCATGATTCGTCCATGAACAAGACCGGGGTCGTACAATTCTGTTTTGAGCTTCATGTCCACCACGAGCTCCTTCGCTGATGACAGGGCCACCAATCCCGTCACGAGGGTGCCAATATGCAAAGGTGCCATAGTGACTGGAAGAGGGTTGTGAATGCCGGCCCACAAGTTTCTGACAGTGTCGAGGTCCCTACCGGATTATGTCCCAAGAGATCTGGACAACGTCGTTGATTGCAAAACGGCGGGGCGGGAGATCAGCGGCCCATCGACTTGCTGCGGCTTTAAAAAGAAGAAGGGGCCCTCATAGATGGGCCGGAACTGTAGAAGATGTCGGCATTTGGGCTTAAACGCCGAAAGCGGCAGGTATAAAACCAACCCCAGCGCAATATGCCGTGTCTCCGGTTGGCCAAGCATGAGGCTCCTCGGGAGGGGGAGGGGGGACGGTGTTTCAATTTGATATTAACTGTATATGCTTGTGTGACCGCTTATCCTGATTAAAGTCTCCGCCGTGCACGCGGCATTGAGTGGAAGACTGAGGTTTGCTGCCTGCCAACGGCCAGTTTACGACATCACGGGGCGGCCTGACGTGACGGACTGAAGCGGAAGGTAATATAACATAGTACCAGAACTGGCAGCTAGCAAAACAAAAATGCAGGCAAGTCGCAGCGCCTCGTTGCTGCTGCTGATCTTTGGTGATAAGACAAGTTCACCGGGGGTTGGCCGACGACAATGCAAGTCACCGTCATACAAGGGAGGTGACATCTGGCCTCGACCAGCGTGCTGCGCAACGCGAAGATTAATTACCATGCATGGCAATGCGCCTCGCCGAGTGTAGGAGCTTATGTCTACACAGTATTTTGTTGGCAGCTAACTTACGTAGGTTGACGCCACTGGAAGCGGGCTCCAAGAACTCAGGTACGAATAGAAAGAAGGGCACCGCTGGAAGAGAGGTACCTACCTACTTAGGACAGCTGCTGTGTTTTGGATACACAAGCCCCGATTCTTGGGCCATCAAGGGGCGAACGAGCGTTGAGATTGAGAAGCGGTGAAACTTTCTCGCGCCAGCTTGGTTGGCCCTCTTGATGTGCACTGTCGAATGGATGGAAGGATGAACAGATGGCGAACAATCCGAACTGCACTCGGCGGTTGAGCTTGCCGAGTCCTGCTTCTGCAGGACGCCGGGACGCCGTCAAGTCGCTGCGAGGGAGACACTCGAATGCCACCTGCCGCCCTTGGCAGACAACCTTCCGTGGGGGCGGATGCGGGGACAAGCAGCGGACCAATCGAAGCACTTGTTACTCCACGATGACGACGATGTTTCCCGTGTCGTTCATGGCAAGGTCGGATTCATTGCCCTGGCCAGTTAAAAGCTTTGTAATTACCTTTGCTTGCCTTCGCTTTCGCGAATTCTGGATCCTCCCGCAGCCCCGTGCGTCAAATGGGCTGCGGCTTTTCGTGCTTGGAGACGCCGCACTCCTGCACGGCACAACGGTGTCCCCTCTCCTCTCAGGGACGCCTGATTCTGCCCCGCGATTACCCCATCACCCCTCTTCCTTGCCTTCATGAGCTTCGTCCTATCCACGGTTCGAAACACTTGCTTCTTTATTGTCCCGACCCGACGGCTTGTATCGAAAACAGGGACCCGGCGCTTCCTTACGACGTCATCGCCAAGAATGTCACAGGAATATAAGTTGAAGGGGGTTACCTCACTCGCCCTGCAGCCCGGCGAGAAGCAGGAGGTGGAAGTTGAAGGCCTCGAGGCCAAGGTGCTGCTTCTCAACGCCGGCGGGACGATGCAAGCGGTCGGGCCCAAGTGTACCCATTACGGGGCTCCTCTGGTTAAGGGCGTACTAGGGACAAACGGGAAGCTGACCTGCCCGTGGCATGGAGGTACATGATATTTGATTTCTTGTTCTTGTCGGGCTTTCAGTTTGCTGACCTGAGGATCCTTTTCACAGCTTGTTTCAACGCAAAGACCGGCGATGTTGAAGATGCCCCCGCTCTGAATGCTCTCCCCGTCTTCAAAACCGTCGAGCGCGATGGTTCCGTTTACATAACCGGAGACGCCGAGACGATCAAGCGAGGGCACCGCACCCCTAGTTTCAAGGGCAGTGCTGCGGGCGGCGACAAAACTGTAGTTGTGGGAGGGGGGTCGGGGGCGCTGGGCACCATTGAAGGCCTGCGCGGAGGTGGCTACCAAGGAGGTATCACACTTATTTCGAACGAGGGCTACCTGCCCATCGACAGACCGAAGCTCAGCAAGGCCTTGATGACGGATCTCGCAAAGCTACAATGGAGGGACGACGGTTGGTACAAGAGCCGCAACGTAGACATCGTCCACGACGAGGTCACCGGCGTCGACTTTGCAACCAAGACTGTTAGGACCAAATCTGGAGCGGAATTTGCTTACAATAAACTCGTCCTCTCCACTGGTGGGACGCCCAGGCAGCTGCCGCTGCAAGGGTTCAAGGACCTGGGCAACATCTTCACGCTGCGAAACGTCCACGACGCCAAGAAGATCGTTGGCGCGATCGGGGACAAAGGCAAAAAGATTGTTGTTATTGGGTCGTCCTTCATTGGCATGGAGATCGCCGTGGCCACGTCCAACGGGAATGACGTGACGGTCGTGGGTATGGAGAAGGCGCCGCTCGAACGTGTCCTCGGCGACAGGGTAGGCAATATCATCAGGAAAGGTGTCGAGAGTAAGGGCGTCAAGTTTTACATGTCAGCGGGTGTCGAGAAAGCCGAGCCATCGACGTCCAACCCCTCAAACGTTGGTTCGGTTCATCTGAAGGACGGCACGACACTTGAGGCAGACCTCGTCATCTTGGGTGTCGGTGTTGCGCCCGCGACGGAATACCTCAAGGGCAACGACGCGGTCCAGCTCGAGAAAGACGGGAGCTTGAAAGTGGATGACTCCTTTTCGGTGGCTAATCTCGAGGACGTGTATGCGATTGGCGATATCGCGACACACCCTTACCGCGGCCCGGGAGGGGAGGGCAAACCCGTGCGCATTGAGCACTGGAACGTAGCTCAAAACGCAGGCCGGGCTGCTGCAAGCCACATTCTTCAACCAAGCCGCACACCAGAGTTTTACACGCCGGTGTTCTGGAGTGCCCTTGGGTCCCAGTTGCGGTACTGCGGGAACACGATGGCTAGTGGCTGGGACGATGTGGTTATTCAGGGTGACCCAGAACAAGGGAAGTGGGTGGCGTACTATGCAAAGGGGGATACGGTGGTGGCAATGGCAAGTATGGGCATGGATCCGGCGATGGCCCAGTGTGCACAGCTCATGTCACTCCACAAGATGCCCAGCAAGGCCCAACTGCAGGGCGGTTTGGACGTCTTGAGTGTTGGGCCGCCGCAGTGAGTTTGTGCCAGAGTTGTGCACAGTCGATGAATTGTGCATGCGAAAACTTAGCTAGCTAAGCCCTAACCCTGAAGCTTTCTGTGCTCTGCCAGTGGGATCGCAATGAAATTAACTTCGTGGATATTTGACCACTCCAAACCATCAGGCCACCAAGCCGTCTCCAAACCTGCTTCGACTATCCCGTGGCTCGGCTCCAGTGGTCCGACATACACTTCTCTAATAACTTGTACGTCCGTCGGCCAAGGAAGACATTTGGATTCATTGCGACGCAACTGCCGTCGCAGGGACATATCTGATGGTTGCCAGATTTTGACGCGGGCATTTGAGGATTTGGCGATGGATCTCTTCACCCTGCTGAGCTTGGCAGTCCAGATGCTGGCCTTCTTCTTTTCGCTTGGCCTCCTCTCCCTGCTCACCGTCGCCATTTACAGGCTCACCCTTCATCCGCTAGCTCAGGTCCCTGGTCCTAGAGCCGCCGCCATCTCCAACATTTGGCAGGCCTGTTATGTTCGCGACGGCCGGGCCCGCGAGTTGGGGAAAACTCTTCACAAGAACTACGGCCCCGTGGTTCGTGTGGGGCCCAATGAGGTGTGGTTTAACTGTGGAGAGGCGTTCAAGCGTATCTACAGTATGCGGCTTCCTTGTCGTCGCCCCCTCAGTTTGCTGTCTCCGCAGGCTAACATTGCTCAGGTGCTAGGAGCAGCTACGAGAAATCCAACTTCTACTGTTAGTGCCAACCAACCGCCCCTTCCTCCTTTGGATAAGGTCACCGTCTCTGAGGTTTTGGTAGTGGCCACGGCCTTGAACAAGCCCCGCCTCGACTGGAAGCTCAACGCACACTTCCCGGACACACTTGACTTCCTGTCCGAGTTTGATATCAAGCGGTACAAATTGCAGAGACGGCTCAGCGGGCCTTTATATTCGGCATCCAACCTGAAGAAATTTGATTCGGCTGTCGAGGAAGTTACGAAAACCGTAGTTTCCGAGCTAAACGCCCTCGACGGTGCCGAGGTAGACCTTAAAGAGTGGATGCACATCATCGCGGTCGAGTGCCTTGGAGCCGTGGTCCTCTCCTGGTCACCTAAGTATCTGAAAAATAGGTCGGACGGTGATACAAGTACCCAGAGTTACCTTGGCTGGAGACGGAAAAGCGTCTTCGGGCTGTTTCCGACCGTCACGAAGATGTCATTTTTATCCAAGACCCTAAGCCGAGTTTTCTCCAATCTTTGGGGAGTGACGTTCAAAACGCCCAAGAACTTCAAACCTTTTTTCACAGTAAGTGAAATTTCTTTTGGATGCCGAGTTCCTACTTCTCCCTAACGTCAGTTGTAGCCTGTGTACCAGAAAACATCGAAGCGCATTGCCAATGCCCTTCGTGACCCTGACCATAAAGGTGTGGGAAAACTGTTGGGCAACGATTTGCTAGGGGACCTCATCCGCCTTCACCAGGAACGCCCCGACTTTAGGGAGAATTACCTGCGCCGTCTTGCTGTAACGAATTTTGGTGCTGGCCATGAAACAATGTGCTCAGCGCTTACCGCCGCAATGGCCATGATTGGAACTCACACCGAAGTTTTGCGCAAAGTAGTGCAGGAAGTTCGCAAGACGGCCGGCTCACCGGCTCATGGCAACGCTAGCACTCAGTTGCCATATACGCAGGCAAGTATCAAGGAAGCCCAGCGGTTATATCCCGTCATTGGAATGTCACTTTCCCGCCGGGTTCCAGCAACTGGTTTGGTTCTTGATGGCCGCTTCTACCCGGCCGGCACTACTGTCGGATGCAACCCCGTCGCGTTACACCTGAACGTCGATCTTTTCGGTGACGACGCCGGCGAGTATCGGCCAGATCGGTGGTTGCAAGATGACAATCCTCGCATTGTCCGCGCAATGGAAAGGACGAATCTAACGTGGGGAGGCGGGATACGAACGTGCCCGGGGAGGCATATTGCGGAGTTGGTTATGCACAAGGTGGTCTCTACATTGATAAAGGAGTTTGACTTGAAGATTACCACGTTACCAGAGGAGAGCGAGATGCCGTGTTACTTTATGGCGATGATGACGGGGGTAAAGGCAAGGTTTTTACCTGCGATGAAAAATGGCGGTTGTATATAAGGGCTAGTTCTGGGACGGACTCTTTAGCACCTAATGTCGCACCTTGGTATTCCCGTTGGACTGCTTTTGGCTACCAATTACTTGCGAGGCAACTATTGTAACAACATTGAAGGATATAATATAGTGATCTGGGTTATGTCGGCGAGGATGAGATCTTAATGATGCTTTTTACACTGAGCTGCTCTTGCTACACCCAGCAATTTAAGTGTCATGACACGTTGGACGGGTTGTCGCTTAGGGACTAGTAAAGGTGCTTAAAAGCCGTATTAGGTGGCGGTAATCAAGCTCGGCCCATTTTAGCAGATCGAGATACAGGTCAAGGTTTCGTTCGGCTAACGCCCCGTCTCCCCGTTCCCACCTCTCTTTGACGCAATCACTCGGAGTGATCTGATGTCATCGGAAAGTTCGCAGGAGGTGTATATGGAAAAGCTGGGTCTGATCCATTTTATTCTATTCAATGAATAGTTTCTCATCTCTTCGAGCTTTAGGGTATCTAAGCGCTACACATATGCCAATATCTCCGCCGACCATGTCGCTTCACCGAATGGTACAAGTTCAACGTCGATGCCAGCTCCTTCCAAATATAGGTAGGACAACCATCGTCTCCCCAAGGATTCTGCCATCCCACCGCGGTATGATCCCTCAAGCATACAATGTCTCAACCCTGCCAGGTAAGAGCCCAGACAACATGGGTGGACCTGGCGGCCAAGAGCATTACCCAGAGAGCGCTCCATTGCGACGGTTAGAGCCCTAAGCCCGGTTTTATACGCTCATTGTGCTGAGTTTTAACGCTTTCTAATACTAGGAGGTACACTATCACCACCATATATGGGGTATTCGCTGCTTGCTTCGCCTTAGTGGCTGTTAGGGCTGCTAGACTGAACCCGAATGCTGGCTATGTTTTAGTTCATGATTCTTCGAAAGGAGAGCTTGACGATGTAAAATATGTCAAGGTGTCAGATTTGCCAAAGTCGGCATAAAAAGATCTTTTCCATGCCTCCCTGGGCGCCGTGTTTATGTGTATACACTGCTCATTTGGTTTTCCTTTTTCTCTTTGCGCTAGATCTCGGCTTTTAAGTTCCCTTCCGACCTCCGAGTTCCATCTCAGCTGATAGCATCTTAGAATGTACGTCACTAGCGCCGGAACTCGTGTTTGGAGAGGGGGTCATAAGCTGATTCACACTGCCTAAATTTAGGTCTCGAGTTGCTCGACCGGAAGAGAATTGGTCCGCCGTCCGTCAGCACAAGAAGATCAGCACATCATTCTCCTCGATTGAGCGAGGCGACCAGGCGTCCCGCCAATGGCGCCTGCCAAGCAAGAAGCCGTTCCGTTAAGAGGTCATTGGCACGCTGTAGCTGAGCCCCGTACATCCTTCACCGTCTTTCAATACGAGGTCTCCTCGTGTCCGGTCCTGGGCACGCAAGAGTAGGGAATGACGCGTTGTATGAGATTGAGTTGTTATATAAGGGCGAGAGGTGACACCTATTTCTGCGATCCTGAGCTCAATTTGAACACCACCTCCTACCTGCCGTTATTCTTTCACTTTCGAGCCGATCATCACTGAACACTCCGTTGTGTACCCGCTTTCTCCTTAAAAAATAAAATAAAAGAAAAATGCAGTTCCTTCAGCTCATTGTACCTGTTATGGCAGCGTCGCTGGTCGCCGCAGCCCCCGCTATCCTCGAACGTCAATTTCAGATCGGCGACATCCTCTATCCGTCCGGAACCTACCGCAGCTGGGTCCAGACTGGCAACATCGTCCAGGACCCACAAGATCAGCTGCTCGTCGTCAAAAACGGCGTTCCTGCAGAGGAAACAACCGCTATTGTGACTTTCGACTTCCCTACGGACTCACAGGGAAAGAAATGCGAGCTTATCTTTGAGCTTTGGGGCGATCGGGACCACTCCACAGGGACTCAGACCCTCGACCTCTTTACCTACACCGACCCCCCCACGGTTCTCTCGGACCTTGCAGCACAACTCAAAGGCAGGGACGTCCACGTCGGTCGCATCGCCGCCCCGTTGCAGGCGAATGCCACTTGGACGCAGTCCTACCATGGTTACCCGGTGATAGATTGCCCGGCTGGACAGCATCTTGGTTTTCAATATGTTGGTGTGGGTGATGCGGTGGAAATTCGCTGGGACATTGGGGTCACTGGGCCAAGGTTCCGGATTCACTATGAGTGAAGTGTGGTGCTAAAAATTCATTTATTGCTCCGGTCTTGGAGAAGGGCATCGATAGATGAGAAACTAGCGGAAATATTGAACTGGGGCGCGGACCTCCGTGTCAGGTGACCAGAAGACCAGGGGACCAGGAATTTTGATTTTCCGCTTTTTCGTTACGTTCTTCCGCCCCCTTCGGGGGCGTCCTTGTATTTAATCAGAGGCTTCGGCCCTCTCAGGAGTTAGGGGGCAGACAGGCAATTCTATTCTTTTTCTACACTTGCAGAAGTGACTCCTTTCGCGGTCACTGTGACCGCGACCCACTGGCCAGAGGGCCACGCGCGAAGGCGTATCGACAACACGATCGTAGGATCCGTGGCATTGAAGGTTGTTTCCTGAGTCATCTCCTCTCATGCTGCATTGACATCACAACGAGCGTGGCACGTGACCAGCGTTGGTGGTGTGTGTGGTTTTGAGGTGTATCACCGCTTTAATATTAGCTGGATGGATGGATGGAATTTATTTCGCCCGGAGGCACTGGGCCTATAGGGCCTTAGCACGCTAACTACATTCGGATCAAATCGGTTTGCCTTTAACTCGTACAAGCCCCCTACTTCTTCCCTCTTTCTCGCTGCACCATTTACCTCTTGCCTTGGTTGTTGTTAGCAGATCAACTTGGAGGCTACTTTCTCCAAGTGTTCAGCGTCCTATCTTCAGCAGCTAAAGCGGGACCTGCTGGTTAAGGCTCGTGGTTGAGGCTCGTGGTGTTGAGTGTCGGCTTCTTCTACTGTGACTGGTCTAGACTCTCCTCCTCATTCAGCTCCAGCCTTCCTGTTGCCATTGCGTATTTGATCGTCGCCCGGACTGCCTTCATATCTGGTGACCAATGCCTTGTATCTGATGGCGCTTTCCCTCCCAGATAGAACGAGAGGCTTCCTCGTCTTGCCACTGTGCATTGCAGCATGTCTTCCCTCAGAGCTGTCCATCTCACGCATCGGAAAAGAAAGTGTTCCACTGATTCCCTCGCTTGTCCACAGGCACAAAGGTCTGACTCGACCGCCCCAATCCTGCTCAAAAAACCGTTCAGTCTCGCCATTCCGGTTCGGAGCTGCGCCAATACGCAGGCCTCCCTTCGCTTCAGCTTGTCATAGAGATGGCGCGTGTGCTTGCCTGGTAGTGCTGCGTCCATGGCCTTTGAGAACTTGCCCACGCTTACAGGTAGAACTCTTGTCGCCCGTTGTCTTTCCATTGCCAGCCTCATCGCGGTAGACTTGGCCTGGGGTATTTGGGAGTCGGGTGTGCGTCCTTGCTTCGACGCTCTCTGGGCTGCTGCCTTGGCATCTGACCCCAGCGCGAAGTCAATCTCCGCTGGTATCCACAGAAAGTTGACCGAGTTCCCTCTTTGTCGGTGCAGCCTGGCCAAGTCGTAGATTTGCCGTATGATGCTTTGGCCGGATTGCTGCCGCGGCTGTCCAACTGCTGCCAGCGCTGACTGGTTCCTAGTGATCACGGTGATGTGCCTGTGGCAGATGCTAGCCGGTAACTTCTCCAGGGCCATTGCGATGGCTGCTAGCTCTGCTGTATATGGGTTCTGCTCTTGTCCCAAGAACAACAGCATAGTTTGTCACAGTCTCGCTAGTTCTGTTGAAGAGAGTATCCCGTGCAAGGCCGCCCATGCCCAACAATGCCCTTCTTTACGGATGAGCTGGTTGCGATCACGATTCCCGAAATTTTGTTGACCATCTCGGCCGCCTTCCCTCGATCGGCTTCGAGCGTCGGTCGTAGGCGAGGTACCCAGGGCGGGACGGCGTATTCCTGGATTGTCTCCATCCGGTCGACTCGTACTCCTTCGGCCACGCGGGCAATTTTCTGCAGCGGAGATACGAATCGTACGGTGGTCCGGACTTTCTTCATGGCAAGGGGATGCGTTCCGGGTAGCGTGTGGATGTTGATCCACAGACTGGCTGCCGCCTGGGCGTGTCGTTCTCGTACGGGGTAGATGCTCGCTTCAGCTTCCACCACGGCTGTTGCCGCGGTTCGAAAGGCTCCCGTGATGGCCAGGGCCCCGATCTTCTGCGCCCTGTTCAGCCAGCTCAGTGCCTTTTCCCCGCACGCATGCATCCAGACATTGGCAGCGTAGTCCATGACCGGGGCTACTGTCGCAACAAATAGCTGTCTCGCTGTCCGCGGGGAAAGCATCTTCAGTCTCTTCAGGGCCAGAGCGGCTGCGAGGCCCTTAGCTGCCGTCCTAGCAATGTGCTGCTTGTAGCGGAGTTCGCGATCCATCACGACACCTAGGATTTTCGCACTTTCCTTCGGTTTGACCACTTCGCCCTTTGACCGAGAACGGTTGTTCTGAAAATCGCTCCATGTTCCTCGTGAAGTGTATGATGGCTGTCTTTTCGCCTTCAAACTGCGCACCGCTCCGTTTCTCCCAGTCAAGGGCTTTGTCGATGATAGCTTGGAATCCAAGCCTTGGATTCCAGTGCGGTTCGACTCCGCTGACGGGCCCGTTACCCAGGCAGTGTAGTCGTCCACGAAGGCAATTGCGCCTCCGTTCGCGTCGATCTTGTGCTGCACTAGGTCGGCGTTGAAGAAGAGGAACAACACTGGAGACAGCGGCGATCCTTGCGGAAGACCCGCTTGGGGCAGCTCTTGCCGTCCAGATGTGAACCCGTTTACGGCAATGGTCGCTGTGCGCTTGGAGCAGAAGGCGTCGATCCACTTGACCAGGGATTCAGGTATCCCTCTTGCCTTGAGCCTCTGGAGAAGCCTGTCTTTGAAGACCCCATTGTATGCGCCCTTGACATCGAAGCTGATCAGACTGAGCACTTTCCTAGCTCTCCATGCTTTGTAGATGTGTTCCTGAAGCAGAAGGAGAGCCTGTTCGGTCGAGCGTCTCTTCCTGGCTCCGAAGTGGTTGGCGGGTAGAAGGCCGCAGGTCTCCACAGCATGGGATAAACGCTCCGCAATGACTGCCTCCAGTATCTTACCCAGCGTGGAGAGCAGCGAGATGGGTCTCCAGGACTTGGCTAGAGTGTATTCGCTCTTCCCTGGCTTCTTCAATGGGATGATCTTGGCATTCCTCCACTGGCTGGGGATGTCGCCGTCTCGAAGTGACGTCCGGAATAAATGGAGCACCCTGTCTTTGACCACTGGCCAGAGCTGTCT